AAACCATTTTCACCTTTTTGTAAGAAGCCAGAATTGTATGCTTTGCTCAATAAATGAAATTTCCCATAGAATTCTCTACTATAAGAATTCTCTACTATAACCACTATTAGAATACTTTCCTGCTCTTGTGTAGTTTCTTTGGAGCTGTTGATATGGAACGTAAAAAAGTTTAAACTTTCATCCAGAGAACATAAATTATTTCTGACAAGATTTTTGAGCTTCTGTTGTCCCAATCTTGATACAATGCTTTCCATAATTGCTCAGAGATGAAGTATTCAGGGCTTGTCTACACTGCCCCAGACTACGGGGGTGTGAACAACAGTGCATACAAAGTGCTGCGCTGTAACTCCTCCATGTGGACACTCTGGGCACAAACTAAAAGGTTCATATTGTAGGACTACATCAATGCCAACTAGGAACCTTTTAGTTTGCCCTCACAGCATCCACATGGGGGATTAACAGCACAGCACTTTGGTGAGCACTGTATTTATACCCCTGTAATTCGAACTGTGGGACAGTGTAGATATAGTGTAAATCTGGCAGCATGCGGTTAACTCCCTATAGAGACACCATCAACTCTGGGCTGCCATATAGAAAGCGAGACATCCAATACAGTAATGCAGTGCGAGAGAGTTAAAGCTGCTTATGCGATCTCTACCTTTTCTATGAGGGGGGAGGGAAAGGGTTTCCTTCACCATCCTCAGATGGAGACATGAACACAAAACTCTTCAATGGCAACCCCCTACAAATAGAAAAGGAGTTGTACCAGCTGAGCAGACTGTTTGGCTTCCTGTTTCAGCATGCATCTGTCCAGCAGAGTTTGTGTTTAATATCACAGTTGTACGTGCAGGGAACAGACTTAGTTTTGAGGCAATGTGGAGGACCATAAGATACTGCTCTACAGAAAGCACTTCTTTTAAGAACTCTTTAACGTTGGAAACTTAACTAAACTTAGAAACAAGATTATAAGAATGATTTAGAGAAGTGTTTGACCTCGAGGGAGGGGTGGGGAAGAGGAGATCAAGCACACTTAGGGCATGTCTACACTGCAAAAAAAAAAACAAAAAAACACCAAAGGCAGCGAGTCTCAGAGCCTGGGTCAATTGACTCAGGTTCATACTGTGGAACTAAAATAGGAGTGTAGATACTCCCACTTGGGCTGGAGCCAGAGGTCTGAAACCTGGCAAAGTGGGTAGGTCTCATTCTTTTTTGAAGGGGCAGATTTCCTTTGCTGCTGTCTATTTCTTTCCATGGTGGCTCAAACTACCAAGGAGTTTGGGGCAGGCTGAGTGAACATAAAAACTTTTCTCCTTGGTTGGGACAAAATACCTCTTCTCTGTCCTTTTAGGAGTAGGAATAGGTGTGCTTATCGCTGGATTTGCCACAACACCTTAGCTGGCTCTAGGATAGCTTTGTTAACCAGGGGTACCACCCTACTGCTGGATCTGGCTCTTCTTCCTCCTCTTCCATGGGCTCCAAGAGGAACTCAAGCTGGTCTCTTGGAGGAGCAGGATGATGGCATCCTTGATGGAACCGTATTGATTCTGGGTAATGCATGGACAGGTACGACGGCCCCCAATATGGCCAGTGAGACAGATCCATCATAGACTGAGATGGTCCCCAAGGCATGGAGTACCAGTAGTCCTGAGAGAGGTATGTCTTGTGGAAGAGCCCAGGAGATTCTGGATCTTGCATCCAGATTAACCTCACTTGATGGAGGCAATGATGGTCCCTCCTCAATGTCAGACCCTCCCGACGAGAACAACATTGGGTCCAATTCTAAAAGCAGTGTCATCTGTTCTGTTGATGTTATAGCTCCCCTACTGGTGGATGGTACTAGAGAACAGCCCCGCTCTTCATAGTATTCCTGCCCTGATGGTCTCAGAATCTCCCTAAAAAGGACTAGGTCTGAAAGGATGGGAGAGTGCAGATCCGTGAGGATAGTGATATCCTCAGTGGTCGTATACCTCTCTCCAGTCAGGAAATGAAAGGTCCCATCTCCCAAAACCAACGGAGCTGGCATAGGGAGTAGGGTTGCCAACCTTCTAGGATTGTCCTGGAGTGTCCAGAAATTTAATTAAAGATTATGTCATGTGATGAAATCTCCAAGAATACGTCCAACCAAAATTGGCAACCCTAATAGGGAGTCCCTTGCTAGTGAGAGTTTCCCTATGCGAGCATATCAGTACTGTTGGTGCATATGACTCCCTGTGCTTCTTTGCTAGTACGGATGGTTGTCCAGGTAGGGAGTTGCAGTGTTTCTCCTTGCACAGTACTAACTACGAAGGGGAAACAGACAGTGCCAGAGCTGAAGCTGCAGCACACTTAGCCCTCAGAGCGTGAGACTCAGTACTGTGGGTCTTCAGGGATTCTGAACCTCTGGACCCTATGGCACAAAGACTCATGGTTTAGAGGGTGTCGAGGAAAAGTCTTCCTCTTAGAGGAGGACTTGGGGGGATACTCTCTCTAGATAGTGCTTCATCTGAATAGAGAAGTCCTTAGCTCTACCCCTCTGTCTTAACACATGATATACCAGGGAATTTGCCCAGGGTGGGTCAGACTGAGGCCTCACTGAACACTCCACAAGAAGTTACTGCAATCTAACCTCCCATGCTTGGCAGGTTCAGCTGGGGAAGGAGCAGCAGATACTAGGCTTGGCAGAGATGTGAGATTCTCCAAGGCAGTATAGGCACCTCTAATAGTCATCGCTGACCAGGAAGGCTCGAAGCAGGATAGAGAGTTTTTGAAGTCCAGAGTCCTGGGCATAGTCTGAGCTTTGCACCAGAAAGGGAGATGGGGAGGAAAGGGAAAAACAACTTCCCAAACTTAAGTGTCTATACTAATTAAAACAAGAACAGTCTAATAACTTGATATACATTATTTCCAGATCAAGTGGAAGGAAGAACTTAGAGGAAACTGGAATGTTCCACCTCAGACCATGCAATGGTAAGTAGGAACAGGAGAAATGGGTGGTCCACACTGCTCTTTATAACTTTGGTTCACAGCATGAGGATAGGAACAGCGCAGGAGTGGACAAATGGATGCTAATATACTCCTGGGGAATTCTGCACCACTGCGTCCATAATTAATGAGCCAAGCATATTTTTAATTTTTTTGCGCAGAGAAAAAAACTTCTGCTGAAAAGTTGCTGCAGTTCCACATTTTGCCCACCAGAGGGCTCTGTGGCAATAGAACACAGCAGCCACTGTCAGCCAGCAAGGAAAGAGAAAAAGCCTGCTGTCTTCGCAGTGGGCCAGGTCAGGAGACAGGCTAATGGGAGACAGACAGAGTGGGGTGCTGAGATGTCAGACAGGGGCTCATAAGGGCTAGTGGGGGAGGACAGACTGGGGTAGGGGCTGAATGGGAGCGGAGGCACAGGACCGTAAGGGGGAGGGAGGTGCAGAGCCACATGGTGATGGGGGAGGGGGTGCAGAGCTACATAGGGACAGAAGGTGGCTGAATGGGGGCACAGAGACATGGGGACCGGGTGCAGGACCACATGGGTTGGGGGGAGTGGGTGTCTGAGTGGGGGATGGAGGGACACGTGCCTGACTGAATGGGAGAGGTTAGAGGTCAGCCAAAGTCTACATGGGGGAAGCTCGCTAATAGTCCCTCCCCGCCCCCCAAAAAACCCTGTTCCATACTTTTCCCACCCATATCTAATAACCCTTCAGGTTCACACCCAGGGTCCTTCCCAGCAATTATTTCCCTCTCCCTCAGCTCCTCCATTACTCCTGACTCCCCCCCAGTCTTTGCACTGCTTCTGGGGTGTGTGGGAAATATGGTTCTGTATTGTAGTTTAAATGAATTATTACTCAGAGTTCTGTATTAATATTCTTGGTAAGGAATCTATTTTGTCAAAAAATATTTTCTGAATCTTTTTGTCGTCTGTATTGTTACAGACATACTTGCTGACAGTATTTTGAAATAAATGACCAAAAATAATTGAAACTGGTGTGATTCTATGGTGGTATTTTGACAAATAAAATATGCAGAATTTTTCAGAATTTTAAAATATTGTGCGTGGAATTTTTAATTTTTTGGCACACAATTCCCCCAGAAGTAGCTAATAACAAGCATTATTTAGTCTCAGGCACATGAAGCACATGTGTACCCACAGTGCAATACTCATAGGGACCAGCACTTGAAGGAGAACTACCATTTCTTCTCCAAACATGGGTACAGTACTCAGCACTGCTACAGAAGCTGTATGGCAATATGTAACATAAACCTTGCTTTAGAAAGTTGGAAACAGGTTAGAAGCTCCCGCTACAGCTCTTTAACTAAGAGCAGCACTAGGCTGAAGAGCAAGAAGTAGACAGATAGTACAGCAGTAAGGCTAATGACACTTCAACTGAACCACCATGATGCATAAATTTCTTAACAGAGTCATAGCTGCCAAATTTTGTGCATCTCCATATGTAATAGTTTTTTATTGCTGAAAAAAGTCACTGTCTTCCTACCATCATTTCCTCAAGCAGTGGGAGCAGGCCCCCTACCATTAACATCACCAACATGCTGGTACTAATAGGATTAATATGGATTTAACATTAAAAGTCACGTGAAACAAACAAGACTTAGTTTTTACATTTCAAACTTGTTCATTCTTGCATTGACACAGCATCACAAAACCAGCCTACTTCGTAATCACGTGCAAGGCCTGGGCTGGCAGCCGACTTGGGGCTTATTTCCCAGATAGGTGGAGGATGCTGACCTCAAATTGATGTGCTACAGTCACGTCTATAACAGATTAAACCAGTACATACTCCTCTACTGAATGAAGATCTTCTGCCATCACAGAGAGATGCCTCCATCCTGGTTAACGATCAAATGCCATAAAAGGTAAATGGAGAGTATGGAAAGGGGAGGGGGCAAAGTTGGCCTAAACACATGCAATTAGATTATATGGAATTTCATCACCACCGAATAGTATCCCATTGATTATTAATGTTGCCTTTGTCTGCTACAAAGAAAAGTGTATGCACACACAAGTCACTGACCTTATGGAGTGCAGGAGCCATTACTGGCACCAAAAACCCATTGTAAATGTAGTTCACAAGCTGGTTACGAATCAAGGGATGTGCCACCTAAAAAAGAAATCTCGTGTCATGATAAACTGCATCTCTGAACCATCATATTTGTTCTTAAAGCAATAGTTCTCTGCAAAGATTCTTAAAATAAGATAAAACACAGAATATCTTTAATCACTGTCAAAACCCTCTGCCCCTTTCAACAAGATACCTTGATTTTGTTCTTTTGAACAGTTTTTGTTTTGGGTATTAAAAGGTTTCCCCTCTGCGATTAAATACACAAAGTTAAGGAACAACACGAATGATATAGCCAAACACAGAGACAGGGCTTTCCCCATATATTTCAATCTCCCTGCCTGCTGACAAGGATGAATGAACGGACAGTGTGATATGCATGCCCATGAACCAAAATAGAACTGGCAGGTCTAATTTTAGCCCTACCAGCCCTGACAGGGTCACTAAGGTGGACATACCAATATTAACTTGTAATACTACCATAAAAAAGCAGAGTGGTAGGTTTTAATATATTTCAAGAGTACATGAGATATTGGGAGCATTCTCACTCCGCTGGCCAAACATGCAACCTTTTTTCCCTTTTGAAAGTGCGTTACTCACTCAATAGACTGGTTAAGCACTTAAAAAAGATAAGTTACTTGTCATTTGTAATAAAAATCGTGTAGTAAAACATGACAAACCATTGCTTATTTTTACAATGTGGAGTTAATTTTTTGTTTTCAAAAGAGCAAAACAGTTACGTAATATTATGAACTAATACTTTCTAAAAATAAATTTGGTATTATAGGAGCACAGAAGTGTATTAGAAACCAAGTATTTTTTTTAAATTTTTTAATTACACTACGCATGTATATGCATAATATGTCACACACACCCACCCACTCCTCAGAATGTCCCAGCCCTTGTCCAAGAATACGGTCCTCTTATGCCTCTGCTCAGCCCTCCTCAGATTTGTGACTCCAGCTGTGGAGGGGAGAACAGGGGATACTACCCCAATAATACTCCCCTCTTCAACCCAGTGGGTGGGGAGAGAGAGAGGGAGGAAGTCAGAGAGGGGCTGGAGTCCTGGCTCCACCCTCCCTGTTTATTCACTGGTACGAGTAGCTGTCCCAGGACAGAATAAACCACTTCATGAAAAGCAGCTATATATTCCCCTCACCAGCATGACCAAGGTGAATCTGTGGCTGAGGGTATGTCTACACTGTGTTTTAAAACCCATAGCAGAGAGTCAAGCACCTGCGTCTACAGATTTAGGCTCACGCTAAGGCACTAAAAACAGTTGTTTAGATCTTCAGGTTCAGGCTGGAGCTTGGACTATGAAACCTAGGACATGGGCTTCAGCGCTCGAGCTACATGACTATTTTTAGCACTGTAGCATGAGAGCCTGTAGACCCAAGCTCTGCGACTTGCTGCCACAGGTTTTAAAATGCAGTGCAGACATACCCTTAGTCACAATTAGTTCTCTGGTGTGCTCCTGTAGTGGTCCAGCTATGCTCTGCCTCATATCGAGTGTAGATTGTAAAATTACAATCTAGCACTACATAAAAAATAGAATTCATTCAATGTCTGTCCCCCCGCCCCTTTACAGAAATATGTTTTAAAATATCTGATTGTTTGGATTTATTTTTACACTGATTTAAAATAATTTCACATTTTCTTTACTATCCTTAACAGCCTTCACTCTAATGAAAAAATGTAGTATCAAACGTCACTGGCTAAGATTGTAACCTCTCTTGGAACACGGTAGACTTAGAAATGAGTATGGCCACCATTTCACATTTCAACACGTACGCATTAGAAGGCTGATTATATTGCAGCTTCGAGGGTAAAAACAACTATTAATTCTATTTATGACATGTAAGCTTTTTTTAAAAAATGATAAATAAACCTTCATCTGTGTTATACAAGTATAGTCAGTTGCTTCACTAAATTTTGCATACAAACCTTTATAGAAATTACTTTTTAATTCACAGTAAAATATGACAACTTCACTAATGTTATTGAGCACGCTTCCTTATACAGAAAACAAATCCACAGATGCAGCAAAATTTATATTGTCTTCTCATAAAACACTGGCTGTAGAAAAACTGTAGCCTAGAAAAATATATAAAACTTGATTTTTATCTTTAGACTGGAGATGAAAAATAACCAGGAATCAAGAGGAAAAAATCTAATCGAGAAATCAAGAACAGAGGGTGTGTTCTAAACAGACCAATTCTGAAGGGAATTTAATTTGTGTTGATGATGCTTAACTCTTGCTAAATTCAACTAAGGTAACAATATTCTTTATATAGTACACATGATTAGGGAAAATAAGTGTTTTTGTTTGTAGACTTTTATGAGAACCTAGATGTAAAGATGGGATATTCTTCTCTACTCAAATAGATAAAATTACCTTTTTCCTCAAATAAAGACATTTGATTTCTTTTAATATCAATGTGGGTATTTAAAATGCAATCAACAATCTTTAGGAAGAGAACTAAGACAAGTCTCCCAATTACTCAATGTAACAACTCCCCAAAACCTGCATATTTACATTTTATTAATTAGAAACATTTGCTACTTGAAAGCTACCTGTGTAGATTAATCTTTGTAACCATACTGAACAGTAACAGCTTTGAACACTTTTTTCATACATATATTCCAAGGCCAGAAAGAACCGTTGTGATCATCTAATCTGACCTCCTTTATAACACAGGCCACAGGACTTCCCCAAAATAACTCCTAGAGCAGATCTTTCATTCATTCATTTAAACAATGATGTTACACTAAACTAAATAAAAATTAGTTCTATACACTACTGTCCACCAAATAAACACATCCTGTAAAAGGCTTTGACAATATAGTTTAACTGATGCTATAAAGAAAAAAATCTGAGTCAGATCCAGTACCTGTATTACTGCATTGCAAAACTCTAGGGAATTCATGAACTGAACAAGAGCTGGGGACAGGAGCCAGTCATCTTTCAGCAGACAGTGCCATTCTCCATTTTCTTCCAGCTTTGTAGGCAAAGATGAATAGAGGCCACTCAGTCCTGTTGCTAGTACCTGTATTCAGAAATAATGAAGAAAAAACAGCCCTTTACCCAACTGTTCAGTTCATGGACTTAAACAATGTTCCAACATAACATTAAAACATTCTTCTTACTAGTTTCAGTAACACTTAGGGGGATGACAGAAAAGGGGGGGAAATGAATGTTTAAGTGATGCTACAGAAAATCATCAGTTTTTAAAATTCATTTCAGCTGAAATTCCTCTCCTTTTAAAAGCTGCCACTTAGGAAAAACTGCCCAAGACAAAGGCTGCCTAATGATTGTAATCTGTTTTAACTGGAAAACCACCACTGTTTTCTTTATGTTCAGAAGATCATTTTACATCTGTTCCTTCCTGCTTTCACCTTTCTCCAGTCTAGTACCAGTCTCTAAATGTTCTCTACCATCTGGTGAAACATCAGAAAAACACCAGTCACTGTCTTCAGAACTCCATAACTATGAATATCGAGGGAATCACTGAGGGCTATCATTTTATGGTTATAGGTGACTATACAGAGCAGTTCCATTATGAATTATAGGAAGTAGGATCATCCCATCTGCAACAAGCACGACTTCATTCAGGCATCACATATCTGGCGCCTTTTGTTCTTAGGCTTTGGAACTCATGGTGCCAGATATAGTAAGGAAAATGGTCACTCCTAATAGTTATAGGTTCTGTTTACCACTGGGGAGAAGTGGAGGAGGGGAAAAGACTCTTTGGAGAAATTAGGGGCATTGTTGCTAATGTTAATGAGTAAAGATACTTGCACAGCATCTTCTATATGTAAAGTATAACACTGTAGTTTTATGACCATAAATATAAAATACACCATTACAAACCTGTTAAAGTGTTACTGTATTTTCTTAAAGTCATGAGCAGTTTCAAGTCACAGATTTTATAAGAAGTTACCAAACCACAGTGTTCTCAGCCATTATCTTGTCCACAGCTCCATCTTTCCTTCTTTCTCATGATTTTGTACAGTTTCTGTGCTACTTTTTAAAATGAGCCTCACTTTAATGTGGTCATTAGGACCAAAGCCCAAGGGGATCTTTTCAGCTTTCATGCAGCAGATTCTTGGCAAGAATATCCCTACTCTCCACAAACACCCACTTGACCCCTATAATGTGAGAGGGTGAGAGCCCTGCTCCAAAGCAAGTGGTTTATCTATTACAAAATGAATGCTTGTGACAATAGAGAACAGAGACCCAAAAGTTAATTTTATGGGGATTTCAGTCCTGAGGATGCATTAATTAAATCTATTACAACTGGTAGCTCACCCTAAAGGGCAAAGGTAGTATCCCTGAATGCTCTCCATTCCTAAACCACCTAACTTTGAAGACAGATTTCTGTAGACTGGCATAATTAAGCCAGATACAAAAATACTGTGGAAAAAGTAATGCTTAGATTTGCTGAGCTGCACTGTTTCTTTTGTTTTATGTCAGGATTTAGACTAAGAAGCTGGAGTACAAGTAGTTATAGCAACAGCTCAAGTTATTTTTATGATCACATACTTCAGTACCAGGATGACTTAAAAACAAGTTAAAAGGGGGTGGGGGGCCTAAAAGGGACAGCTTGACCAGAGCCCCCATTTGACAGAGCCCCCAAAATGACAGAGTGGCCAAACATGATCAAGTGGCATTGTGAACTAGTTTAAGTTGAGGCAATTGATAGTCTACCTGCCACTGACAGTTCAGTGAGCAAATTGCCTGCCTCAGATCCCACCACCGCTACCACTGGAAATGTTGCACCAGGCACAAGAGAATCCACCAGGCCGAGAGCCTTGAGGTAGAAGCAGGGTCAGGAATGCCACTCCTGCTGGTAGCGGGGCTAGAAGACAGAGAAATGTGAAAGTGGGAACACCCCCTGCCAGGCACACACAGGGCAGAGCCCCCCTATCACCACAGGGAAAGCAATGACTCAACAGGTCAGGGTTCCCTCTAACTCCCCAAGACCTCTCAGCTCTTCTTAAACTCTTTCATCTTAAACTCTTTCAAACACGGTAACTATTTTGGAGGGGTATGGGGGCGGGGTGGGAGGGGCTCATTTTCACATATTACCTCGGGCACCCGAAAAACCTCTGTGAAGCCCTTGTGGCAAGTGAGACTCAGCAGCCTTCTAAAGGACAGGGTTAGTTTTAGGTGTTTATTTTCTGCCTCTCCTCCAGAAGGTCACAGAACAAGGCTTCAAGGCTTCAGGAAGACACAAAATTGTATCTATTTAGCCTTTGACACTAAGGGCACATCTACACAACAAAAACAAACCAAAAAACTCCTGCAGCAGCAAGTCTCAGAGCCTAGGTCAACTGACTCAGGCTCATGCTACAGGGCTAAAAATATCAGTACAGGCTTTCCCGTTCAGGATGAAGCCCGGGCTCTGGGACTTTCCCTCATTGCTGGGTCTCAGGGCCTAGGCTCCAGTCAAACTCTGAACATCTACACTGCTATTTTTAGCCCTGTAGCATGAGCCCAAGTCAACTGATCTGGGCTCTGAAACTCACTGCCTCTCCCACCCCTTTAAAAAAACAAAAACAAACAAAAACTGTGTAGATGTATATTAAGTGATCACAGGTTCAGATTCTGGATAAGAAAATGAGAAGACGACATTGCATTGTTCATACCATAATATAGTTTTGGGGAAAATATATTGTTATTTCTAAGAAGAATTTTGGGAGAGTGTTAGGATATAGATATTCAGGCCTGTCTGTAAAAGCCTGCATTCTAAGAATTTAGATGTATTCTTATCACTTGGCTAGTTATAGAGATATAAAAGAAAGAATCAAAATCACTGTCTGCCGGTGTAAGGGCCTTCTCTTACTGTGACAGTCTGAGGCCCTGTTCTTATGCTAAGGCCTTTGGCTAAGCACCAGAGGCAGCCATAAACGGAAGCAACCAGTCACATCCTCACATTCCAAATTAGTCACATTGAAAGAAGGTGCTATTGGGCTGTTAGGAATACAATCCTGTCCTGATAGTGCCTATCGCCTCCAGAGAAAAGGAAGTATCTAGAAAATGTAAAAGGAAACTTAATTTGATAGTATCCTGTCTGGCAAGAACTCACTTATCAATAGCTGGGATGTGAAATCCTCACTTCTGTATTGTTTTGTCATTATAGTTCCCACTTTGCTATTGTTTGTCTGTATAATCTCTGTCTGGTTCTGTGATTGTTTCTGTCTGCTGTATAATTAACTTTGCTGGGTGTAAACTAATTAAGGTGGTGGGATATAATTGGTTATATAATCATGTTACAATATGTTAGGATTGGTTCGTTAAATTTCAGGAAAATGATTGGTTAAGGTATAGCTAAGCAGAACTCTAGTTTTACTGTATAGTCTGCAGTCAATCAGGAAGTGGGTGTGTGGGGGGGGAATGGGAACAGGGAATGGGGGTAAGGAAATTGGAATCATGTTTTGCTAAAAGGGGAAATGGGAACAGGGAATGGGGGTGGGGGAATTGGAATCATGTTTTGTTAAAGGGGGAAATGGGAACAGGGAATGGGGGTAAGGAAATAGGAATCATGTTTGGCTAAGGGCAGGAATGGGAACAGGGACACAGGTGTAAGGCTCTGTGGTGTCAGAGCTGGGAAGGGGGACACTAAGGAAGGAAACTGGAATCATGCTTGCTGGAAGTTCACCCCAATAAACATCGAATAGTTTGCACCTTTGGACTTCGGGTATTGTTGCTCTCTGTTCATGCGAGAAGGACCAGGGAAGTAAGTGGGTGAAGGTATAAGCCCCCTAACAGAGAGGTGGTTTTTTGTTTTGTTTTTTCCAGCAGAGAGAGGGAAGTGAAGGAAGGCAGGGGATGGGGCAGATTAGAAAGGATTTAACTGGCCTGTAAAATTACTTCTGCATAGGACAAATGCCTTACATTCACATATCAGAATTACAGACAACTCTGGGCGGGTGAGAAAACCTGGATTTGTGCTGGAAATGGCCCAACTTGATTATCATACACATTGGAAGGAGAGTGGTCACTTTAGATAAGCTATTACCAGCAGGAGAGTGGGGTGGGAGGAGGTATTGTTTCATGGTCTCTGTGTATATAATGTCTTCTGCAGTTTCCACAGTATGCATCCGATGAAGTGAGCTGTAGCTCATGAAAGCTTATGCTCAAATAAATTGGTTAGTCTCTAAGGTGCCACAAGTACTCCTTTTCTTATTAAGAGACAAATTCACTTCCTGGAACTAGATGAAACTGACTTTCAACTTCATGCCTCACTACACACAAAAAAGGAGTGATAAACTCACAACCACCCCACACCTTAGAGAAGGTTATTCCTTACATACTTTTCACTCTATAAGGCAAGATAGAATTCAGGAAGCTGTGAAAAAACAATGTTTAAAAAAGTTGTTGTTATGCAATACAACATTTTTACTTGGTTCACAAACAACTCATCATGGAATTACTTAAATAAGGTTCTCAAAAGCAGAATCTATGTTGGAAGCAGTTTCTGCAGTTTATTTAGCCAAAACAGTTTGAGGATTTTTACCATGTGGCTAAGGTCTAAACATAGCTATTGCTAGGAATTAATAGCTATATGTACAAGCTTGGCACTAAGTAATTCAGAAAAAAATAAAGTGATAAATGTCAAATATTAAAAGCAAGAACTTCTTAATTTCTGTAACTGGGCACATAAAATAAGGTACTTTTGGGGGGTTATTTCATGGATTTTTGTTTTTTTTTTTCTTCTGTTTCTAATCAGTAGAGACAGAACCATAAATGCTAAGATCATAGAAAAACAGAGATAGGAAAGACTTCCTTTGTCTCTTTCTACATCTCCCCTTTCCCTTCACTCCAACAATGCTGCACCAGTGCCAACACACTATCTGTCTGTTTCTCCAACAAGCATATCCAGGGTTTCTTCCATGCTGTTAACTATGGCTGTAATGCCCTTATGAGGTGGTCCTCAAGGCCACTCTCTATACATCAATCCCCTTTGATGACTCACATCTTCTGTCATGCCCATAAGACAATGATTGATTATGACAAGGTTGTGAGTTATTTGGTGATAGTCTATATATCTTGTGTATTCATAGTGGGCCTCCCACAAACTGTGAGAACTCTCAAAGCCAATACATAATGGAAGTATTTGTAACTACTAGCAAATATTCAGTATTTGTGAACTTTTACAACAGAAAACCCTCTAGAAACGTTAATTCTCACTACATCTCGGGAAGTAGGTGGTAAGTTCAACTCACAGAGAAGGAAACTGAGGCAAATAAATCAAATTATTCATCTGAAGATATAGAGGAAGTCTATATAAGAGCTGGGAATGAAGCTCAGGAGCTCGTCTCCTAGTCCTATGCTCAGAAGAGTAGACCATGCCATGGCTCATGCAATCCATCCCTCTACCCTATAATCTAAGCTTGAACACTTTGTCCAGTCTAGTTTTAAGTGGAGTAAATCAAAGTAGCTTGTGTCACTTCTCTTAGGAAATAGCAGGAAGGAAGTCTTTTAAGCTTTCTATTTGTATGTACCCAAGCAGAAGGGAACTGGGGCCAAGTTTGATCTCAGAATCTAGAGCAGCGGTCCGCAAATGTTTGAGGGTCGCAACCCCCTTACCCTTGTCCACCCCGCTCCATAAACTGGGGCTTTGGTCAGGCCTGCAGTTAGGTGCTGCTCTTCTCACAGTCTCTCCCCCCACCTTGATCCCGGCCCGGGAATGGAGCCACGGCCTACAGCTGAGGCTGAGGGTGGGACTGGGAACGGAGCTGTGCCAAGGCTGGGGATGGGGACATGGCTGGGGGCAGGACTGGAGCAGAGAGGGCCCGGATGTACCCTCCCAAACATTCCTCCACAGCCCTCTAGGGGGGGCATGCCCCATGGTTTGGGGACCTCTGATCTAGAGTGACACCACTCATGCCTATGGAGTTGTTCCAGAGCAAAATTTGGCCCTGGATTCTGTTAAGATCAACACAAAAAAAGACTTAGTACTGGCAGGCAAATTCCTGCCAGGGGAAACAAGAAGCATAAACCGTAAGATTGCATTAGAATTTATTACAGAGTTGGACTAGTCTCATTACTGTTCAGAAAATCTGATTCTAACACACTCTGACAATCATTTTAATTAAGAAAGCTTTTTGTCAATCACAGTTCCCCACTGTTCGTAGGTTAAGATAGTTGGCTTTTATCTTTTTATACTAAAGACTTTTTTTTAAAAATTAATTGGCAAATGTAATTATGGAAGTTATTGCGTAGATTCAATAATGGTATTTATCTGAAGGACAATTGAAAAACCAAGCTCATGTATTCTTTAGTAGTATCTATTTAAATTAGGTCAAACAGAGCCTCTCGGTGCAACAGACTGCTTCATTATTTGCCATGTATGGGTATGGTGTTCAGAATTGTAAAAGTGAATCATCAAAAGTTAGACAGAAACCTGTTTTTTAGGCTGCTACCAAATTCAGGCTTGGTCTGAGCCCTGCTCCACACTACCTCACCAAGGAGGTTGCAGGATGGAGTTGAAAGGTTGATCAAAAAAGGGCCATTAGGAAGAACTAGCCTCCAGTGAGCAACTCTGCCATTGGCTGGGGAGGAAGACATCTTGTCCTTGTCCCAACCTGTCTATTCAGGCTAGCTGCTGTATTCAGGATTTGCGTCTAAATGTGGGAATATTCATGTAGGAAAAGAAGGAGGTTTTGTGGTCATTTTTGTTTTTATCAACAGTCCCAATGCCTGCCTTTGCCTGAGGCAGCTGGCACATGGGGAAGGTGTGAGTGTGATGCCAATGCATTGCCTCCTGCATGTCTGGCACAGGAGACATCTCTTTCACTGCAGGAGTGCTCAGGCCAAGCAATTACTATGCCCTGCCATGGACCGTTTACTGCTTCTCTGAACTGGAGCAGTTTACATGTGTGATGTTGCCAGCAAGCATGCACTGGGTCAGCAGTGAAAGTGATAGACCACTTGAGTCCTAGACACGTCTCCATGGGGGCAGGGAAAGCTGCCACAGTGCAGGATTTATTAGCAATTAATGGGGGGAGGGAGAAATCACATGGAGAAAGATATTTATAATTTAAATAGTTATTGACACAATATTTTTAATCAAAATCTGCATTTATAGCTTCTGACTGATGGCCATAATCTCTGGTTGTGCAGACCGTTCTCTGATTCGGAGCTGGGCAAAGCAGTAATCAATGAAAAATATCCTGAATAAAAATACTTTGGACTTCTATACACGTAAGAACGGCCATACTGGGTCAGACCAAAGGTCTATCTAGCTCTGTATCCAGTCTTTCGACAGTGGCCAATGCCAAATGCCCCAGAGGGAATGAACAGAATAGGTAATCATCAAGTGGCCCATTCCCATTTTCTGGCAAATAGAGGCTAGGGACACCATCCCTGCCCATCCTGGCTAATAGCCATTCATGGACCTATCCTCCATGAATTTATCTAGTTCTTTTTTGAGCCCTGCTATAGTCTTGGCCTTCACAACATCCTCTGGCAAAGAATTCCACAGATTAACTGCATTATGTGAAGAAATACTTCCTTTCGTTTGTTTTAAACCTGCTGCCTATTAATTTCATTTGGTGACCCCTAGTTCTTGTGTTATGAGAGGGAGTATATAACACTTCCTTATTTACTTTCTCCACAACAATCTTGATTTAACAGACATCTATCATATCCCCCCCTTAGTCATCTCTTTTCCAAGATGAATAGTCCCAGTCTTATTAATCTCTCCTCATATGGCAGCCATTCCATATTCATTTTTGTTGTCCTTTTCTGAACCTTTTCTAATTCCAATCCCTTTTTTGAGAAGGGGCGACCACATGTGCACACAGTATTCAAGATGTGGGCGTACCATGGAAGTATATAGAGGCAATATGACATTTTCTGTCTTATTATCTATCCCTTTCTTAATGGTGCCCAACATTCTGTTTGCTTTTTTGATTGCCTCTGCACATTGAGTGGATGTTTTCAGAGAACTATCCACAGTGACTCCAAGGTCTCTTTCTTGAGTGGTAACAGCTAATTCAGACCCCATCATTTTATATGTATAGACATTCAAGAATCAACAAGTGCTTTGTAAATGTATAAAATAAGCCTCAATACTCCAGATACCATTATATTGACATATTGTACATAGGGGATCTGAGACAAAAATGTTAACTTGCCCAAGGTCACATAGCAAGCCTGTGGCAGAGGTGACTGACAAAGCCAGAACAAATATTGCTAAATCCCAGTTCTATGCTAACTAGACAAGGTTTTCTTTTCCCATTTAAAATGTGCCTCGTCTTTTATTGCCAGACTAAACCACAAACCACATAGTATGTAAATAAGAATTAAATACCAAACCAGAAAAAGGTGATTTTTTTCAGGTGGTCTATATAGCTCTGTTTTGGCCCTCTTTCCCAAATACCATATGTAGCATCTATAATTTCATCTCAGGCCCCAATTTCTTATTTTACTTGGAGGCAAGCAAAGAAGCAGTGAAACAAGAAAAATCCATCTTTGCACCCTTGTTTAATATTTGTTTAGCAAACAGCTATTCTGCTGCGGGAGGATTGATTGGTTGTCTCTTTAAAGTAACAGGTTTATTATTGTTTAAATTGTAAAGTTAGATTTCTAACAAGTTCTAAAGCTGAACATAAATACTGGTTTAAAAGTCTCAGAACAGGGCCCCCTACTGCCAAATTTGATAAAGGAAGCCTCTGTTCAACAAGATGGTGGTTAATGGTGAAAACTGTTTCCCTTGCCAGCCAACCCCTCTCTCCTCTCCCATCCCTATAGCATCTGTAATTTCTACAGGACTAGGATGGTTTCCAGCCTTATAGTTTAGAATTATGGAATAAGTAAAATGAATTCATCTTTCCTAAAAAGGATAGTGGAAGAAAAAAGCAAAAAAGTGAAAAGTTACAGAGAGAAAGTAAATTTATGGTAAAAAAAAAAAAAACCACCCCAAAACCCAACAACTTACAGGACAAAAGTAGGTGTTTTCTACTATGTGATTTGCAACAACGTTGTTCTCAGCTGACAGGGACATTATGAAGAGCAGAGCGTCACGAGCCTGCTGACCTATTGTTCCTTCCCGATGGATGAAGGGAATCAAAAGGGAAAAAATGAGAAAGTTGGCAGCTCCTTGGTCCTCGCTGGTGTGGAAAAACAGTTCCAGAATGGAAGGATCTTTGGCTAGGATAGAGCAGAGTTGGTTCAGCAGGATGACCAGCTCCAACTCCACAGCTGGTGTGGCCGTTCCTGAGCAAGAGCTCAGCAACATCATCAAAGGCTTCAAGATGGGCTTGTGGTGCAGCACAGGCTGATGGGACTGAGTAACCAGCATCTCATATATCTTCAGCTGCTCAATTTTTGTCTCATCGTTGAACTCCCGCCTCAAGCTCCAAAGGAAGAGTTTTTCCATTATGTTCTCTGTGACTACAAACTCAAGGATAGGCCCCATTGCAGCATCTTTTGCTTGCTCCTCAATTAATAAGAAAAGCATATGCTCCACATAATTCTGCACAGTGCTGGCCTCATCTGGTGGAATTGCCCCATATTTCGCCTGAGTATTTTTCAAAGGGTCATGCTTCTCTAGGATTTTTACAACCTAAACAAACCAAATGCACATTTATCATCCCAATGTACATGTTTAAAAATATATAGTTGAATAAAAAGAGATCACGTCTTTTACTTTTCATGCTTCAAACTTTTTGCACGCTGAAAAATCAATCTTTAAAACTTCACACTTGTCACACATTCTGGACTAAACTGCGACATCTTTACTCACACTGACCAGTCCCTTACTGCACAAGTAGCCCCACTGCTGCAAATTTGGGATTTATTAAAGTGTGGATTAGACAGGTTCTACTGTACTTCAAATCGGAGATATACTATTGTCTTAGGCAAGTTTCTTTCAGTGTCAGACAAACTCTGTGCAACAGAAGCCTGAAGTCAATGGGCCTATGCAAGGGACTATTCAGTGTGAGCAAAGGTTATCAAAATATTGCCCTCAGTAAGGTATGCAGGATTTGTTAAAATTTGGATGTAGTAAGGTAATTAGGAATGGGTGAAAATACCACCCTTATTAATTTAATGGTCAGACTCTGCAAGGCCTTGAGCATTCTATTTTCCAGTGGTAGAAGGTGCTCAGATAAGATATGATCACACAAGGTGCTAAGTGAGAACAGAGTGGCAACTGCTTCCTGCACACTCTTGCAGTAATCAGCCCAACATTGGGAACAAGTAATAAATGCAACTGCTCCACCCTGCTCTTTAGGCTAAATCACAATACCACTTCCTTGCCCTTTCTGCCTTCTCTCCCTCCTCAAGGGGAGACAGCAGAGCTGAGGTGAGCTGTTCTCCCACACAGAACAGAGCAGAGGCCACCTCAGTTTGCTCCCTTGACTAGGCTGAATACTACAAGATGTTTAAATTAGAGTTTCCTCACTACAGGATGCCAGTGCAGATCCTCACTAATGGTCCATTGTTCTCAGGCATCAGAAATTTGCTGATCACTACAGATTCTCCTGCAACACATCAGTCCATATGACAGCAACACAGGTTAGTGACAGCTCTCCTAAAATGATGGTAGCTTAACATCTCAGTGGCACTAAGATCCTCAAAGGAACTTGACTCCCATTGATTTCAAGCCTCTATTGATTTCAATGAGAGTTAGGTGCCTAAATAACTTTGAGGATCTGGGCTTTAGTGGTCATCACAAGATCAGCCACCAGGTGGTTCTTCAAACCCTACAACAGAGTTTCAGGAACAATAAAGACCCTAGGCCAGCTTCCTTTTCAGCACAATACAAACAACAGCTTTTTGAAAAAGCACCCGGCAGGAGAAGAAGCCAGTAATATGTAAATTACACCATGCAACCTGAAAATCTGTAGTCAATTATTAATACCAGAAGAGCTTTTCACCCTTAGATCTAAAAGCACATTACACAAAAGGTGATTAAGCATTATTCCCCCCATTACACAGATAGGGAAACAATGGCACAGAGAAGATAAGTGACCTGCGTAATACCCCAGTGAGTCATTGGGAGAGCTGGAAACAGAATCTAGGTCTCTCAATTCCAGTACCAGATCGTTAGGCAACATTATCTCTCTCTTTGCTGCAAATTTGAGGTCTATCTCAGTGTGGATTAGCAAGGTTCTACTGTAGTTCAAAAATTGAGTTATAATATTATTAAACATGTTTTAATGTTAGCCAATAAACTCTGTGAAATACGGGCTTGTTTCTGGAAAGTGCAATGTTACCATATCAGTCTTTGCTTTGAGTGGATTCCTATGAACGCAACCTACTTCAAATCAATAAAACTATCAAGTATTACTGAATTATATTACCTGTCCCCAGTGCGTTTTAAACACTATCATGCATGTTTCTGGGTCAACTCCCTGCAGGTTCACAGCCTGCCGGTTCTTGCTTCTACTAATACCGGAGGACATCATAAATTCTCCAAAGGTCAATCCTACTAGGCCATATTCAATTTCTGTTGAAAACTCTATAGTCAAGTCAATGAGGTGCAAGCATCACCGTAGGATGGACATTTCTTTATTGACTCTGCAGCTCACAGAAATCTGTAAAAATGACAAAACACATCAGATTGTATTGCAGGACAAAGCAGGACTTAGTTAAACACTGACATACATTTCCTTGAGACTTCGATCTGAGTGGAATGCTTTGTAAGCAAATTGCTTCAGGCTAGATTCCCATACCTTTAGTCACAATGAGTAGTACCTTACTCCTCAAATAGCCCTGTTGAAGTCAGTGAAATTGTGTGTGGAGTAAGGTGATATATTCAACATGAATAAGGGTATTCGAATCTGGTATACATGAACATTTACTTTTTGTGTGAGTGTGTGCACATGCTTTCTGACATCCTCCTCTCTGTACAGTATTGCTTAGTAACTAACGACATTCTGCAAGCTATACATCTAAACAAGCTATAGGTTATTTCTGGGCCTTTTTAAGATAATCTTTTCCTTACAAACAATCATTCTTTCGAACACTTGACCTTTTTGATTAATAAAGGTAAATGGTGTACATTTAGAAAGCTCTGTAGAACACTGCATACAAATAACAGGATTCATTGATACAATGTTAAACACACCATAAACATGGAACATAAAAGTATAGAAGAGAAGAAAAGAACTTGTGTTATCCAAAGTCACATAAATTAAAGTATCATATTAGTTCAGAGGACTTTGAGAATAAGATAGAGACCAAACACTGGATTTTTCTTTTCATGCATTATTTACTACTTGTATATCACAGAATCAAAGCAGTGATACACCTTCAGGGTAGAGTCAAAATGAAACAGAAAGACAGACATCTCCCAGATATTTATGAGAGGCTTATGAGAACATACTGTTCCCCCAAGCACCAAGGTCTTGGACAACCACATAATTCCACATTTCCCCTCTGCATCTATTTTTTTCTTGGGGGTGGGGGAGAACAGGCAAACCAGCTGGGCTTTCAATTTCACACAAAAAAAATCTGGACATTTAATTTAACTCTCTCCTGTATCACAACTGAAAATCCCTGTAAGAAGGTAGGAACAGAGAACAAATGCATACAGGTGAGATTATATTGTGAACAGTAGGTCAGAACAGAGAATATGGAGTTAAACATGATTATTTATAGAGATGTTCTGCCTGAAACATTATTTTTCTCTTCAATCCCTGTTCCAACTCTAGACATCTTAGAGCTTTGTAAACTTATGATAACACTTCTCTGTCAACTATGAGGCAGATATTGAATCAAATTCTACTGTCCCTGTAGAGTTTCATGAATACAGGTAGAACACACACACACACTATATAATATATACAAAAATAAATAAAAACAGGAAATTCTCTTGTCTTAATAAAACCACATTGTAAGACTGTTGTCTTGGCTGAATCTCTTTTGGTTTTAAAGAATACAATTGTTGCATAATCCAGAGGCCTTTAACAATACATTAGGTATTCTTTAGTATATTTCTTGTAAGATCAAAATTCTCCTCTCCATGGTAGACGTCTCCCTTATTGTGCTCTACCTACATTCATGGAACTCTGTAGTGGAAGCAGAATTTGTGATCTGAGACCTGCCATATAACAAAGTTTCTCTCTCAATTGTAAGTACAAAATTCCAGGAGTTTACAAAGTTTACAACCTAGGAAATCACACACAAAAATACTGCTAAAAAATCTTGAAAGTTGCAAAGTCAAGCACTCAAGTTGGGAAATGCAAGAATGAAGGTAAGCCTGTGCAACTTTAATTCCAGCCTTCTTGTGCCTATGCATTATGGTACAGTCTTTCATTACATGATCACATAATATTTTTTCTGCAGAGCGCCTGCCTCATTTAGTGCACAGGATGGTCGGTGCTCACATAATGAACAGCTATTGAACATTTTGTTATATCCTTATTGTTCAAAGTGTGACCCTATACCTTATTTACTGCATACTATTCAAACCCTGCACTGAAGAGAGAATATTCATTTCCTCATGGACTCACCTCTAGAATATCGTGCTTCACAAACAAATTTATTTTCATGATAACCTGGTGAGAGGCAGTTTACAGATGGCAGCTGAGGCACAGAAATATTAAGGCCACTAATCGTGGGCACTTAATTTGAGATGCCTAGGACCAGATGCGGGTTGTTTTGAGTACTTAGCATTTAGAACACTCTGTATGTGCAAGCACAGCTCCCTTGTTCTTCAGTTGCACCAGTTAGTGTTCATCACTTCTGCAGATCAGATTCCAGTGTATCAAATCAGACACCCAAAAAATGAAGAGCACATAAATTAGTCACCAGCTGGAAAAATCTGGTTTAAATGACTTTAAATCTCACAGGAACTCTGTGGCAGAAGAAGGGACAGAAGCCAGTTCTCTAGGACAGCATTCAGTTGTCTTAGTCCTAAGTCCCTTCTGCCCTGCCATCTCCATCCAGCCTGTCCCACTCCTGTCTCCTCATTCCAGTCCCATTCTCTTACATACACCGTCCAAGTCCTTCCCCCGGTCTCCTGCCTGCCATGCTAGCTATTGTCAACTTTGCTTTTAAGTCAGGCACCTTCCTCTTCCAATGTTGCCTGGGTGTCAAGGAAAGCACAGGAGAGAGAGAGTCTCCCTTCTCACAGTGCAGGTTCCATCCCAGCCTGCAGCAACCAGGAGCTGCAATTGCAGGACAAGCCCTGCAGAGGCCCTGTAGCCCTGGGCTAGAACATGCCCAGTTGTTCTGGTGATGGAGCTTGCACAGTCCATTCATACCAGAAGTGGTAAGACTGGAGAATCTTCACAGTTCAGCGGTGAAGATCTAACAAATCTCTACTGTGCACTTCTGAACTGAGATTTTTTTCAAAGGTTTATAACTTGGCCACATTTGGGCAGATTTTCACAGGAACAGTGAAAGGCACACAGGGCCAGCTCTACAGTTTTTGCCGACCCAAGCAATGAAAAACATTGCTGCTGCGGCCGGCAAGGGGGAGAAGCTGCCGCCGAATTGCCGCCGCCGCGGGCAGAACAGAGAAGATACTGCCGAATTGCTGCCATGGCGGAGGAACTGCTTCCCCTTTTTAACTGCTGCCCCAAGCATCTGCTTGGAACACTGGTGCCTGGAGCCAGCCCTGAAGGCACATCGCGGACAGAGAGATTGCCTCCTGCAAATTTTAAATCCTTGCTTCAAAGCAAGGAATCACTAGAGCTTCTCAACCAAATGGTTGTAAGAACTTTTTTTTAAACATGGCAAAACAATATTTTTCCCTTACCTCATTCTCAGAAACAGCTGAATCATTCTGGATGAAACTTTTTTTTTTTTTTTTTAAAAGGCCAGCCTGAGGCAGACATACAGCATGTAAAATTCCATCCCAAATAGTTTAAGTTTGGCAATGTTATAAGCAACTGGGGAGTGGGGGGAAAGTATCTTATAACCTGAAGTATGAAAAACATTAAAATAAAACAAAGGAAAAATCATGTCTTAAGATGTATATTTATACACAGAAGTTGAAGGGGAGTATGGGTGATCCAGTGACGAGGGTGACAGCCTTCGACTTGGAGACCTGGGTTGATTGCCTTTCCTGCCACAGACTTGCTGTGTGATCTTGGCCAAGTCACTTGGGCAAGTCTTTCTATACCTCAGTTCCCCATCTGTGAAATTTAATTTTCATTTTTATTTATATTTAAAATAAAAAGATGCCTATCCAAAGATCTAGATACCTTAACATCACTATCCCCACAATACAATTACAAAACCAAAATGGGATACTTCCCTATATAAATGGAGTACTGGGAGGATAACTACATTTAAGATTGTGAGGCACTTAGACACTAAGGTAATGGAGGCTTTCTCCAAAAAAGCTATTTGTACATGTAATATTTACCACCCTAAAGCTTGACATCAGGGGAAACAATAGTACTAAGTATTTCTGTTTAAAAGGTTTCATTTAAAAAGCTTTTTAATATTACATGTACCAAATAAGTGTGTAACATATTGCAGTGTACAACTATACTAATATTTGCCTTTTGCAGCTTTACTGGAAAAAAATCTTTCAGTAACATTAATCAGAGAGGCAGCATTGGCAGCTCCCAATTTACCCACGAAATTCTAACATCCTGAGTGTTTGCTTATAAAAAAACATAAAATAAACACAGCTCATTCCCTTGGTATATCACTTATCCCATTTTGTCTGTACTTTACAGGTTATAATAAATGCACACCTTTATGCAGACAGCTATTATCATACATCAGTGCAGAGCCGCAGAATAAAACAAAGAAACTGACATGTAGCAGATCTAATGGGATTACCCATCCATCTTCAGAGGGCACTTGGACTGAGTAAATCTGCAATACTTGTCATTGATGGGAAGTATTATTGCTTTCAACGAGACATCAAATAATTTTTCTGTCCCTCTCTTGAGGCTGTCCACATATCTAATAACACTTTTTGATAAAAGGAAGGCTTTCTATTGATGACTTGGCCATTAGAGGCTCTCACAGGGTTGCCCAAATGCTAGGATTCTCAGCAGGCATGGAAAGACCGAAAGAGAAATTCACCAGTTCCATTCAGAAACCAGAAAGAGGGACTCCAAAGAATCTATTTGCTATGAAGTTCTTGTTCACGACTTTTCCCTTCCCTAAGATAATGCAGAATGGGGCAACATATTGCGAGAATGGCCACTGGATCTGCCATTACAGTTTTGCCTTCACTAGGAAAGTTTGTGTATATTTTCCCCCACAACAACTCTACAGCTGCATTATTACTACCAATAGTAGTGGTGCAGGCAGGGGTCAGGTGTTTATAATCACCCTGTCTTGAAAACCCTGAGTCCTGACTATGCTAATGACTTACTAGCTGTATAGATGAACTTTTGCTGGCTGCTGCTCTAGTATGGGTAATACATTTTTTTCTCAGGTAACTGAATCCATATGCCTAGCCATCCAGTAGAAAGAACACAAATGGATCCTAGCTGCAACTACAGCCCCTGGCCTGTGGCAAAAGGACAGTATCTGTGCAGCCACAGTGCATCAAGCCCCCACGTTGGTGGGGAGCATTTCTTTCCCCAATTCCTGAACAAAGTCCATTGAGAACTTGCCTACA